GCTTGACGGAGGATTAACAAGAGGAAAAAAAAAAGAGAACGCGAGCAGGTCGGCTTGTTCACACGTTTTCGGTTCACCTTTGCTTTTAATCTCGGGAAGCAACAGTGTTTTCCAGGGGCTAACCCAAATGTAGCCAACCGAATATCTACATCGGCTGACCCGACGGGGCCAACGATGCCTATCTTCTCGACAATTTGTACCGGATGACGCAGTCGAACAAACCCGAGTGTTTGATGCTGCTCGGTGATTAGATTCTGATAGTTGTGGTGTGTCTAACGGAACTCCGTGAGCAAAGTAGATCCGTCGTGGCCTTTTCATCTCGGCGCGATGGACATCTAGGGTCAGTTTACCATTGGCACGTATACGTGGCCGGTGTTCCCCAGAGACAAGGACAATTTCAACTCTCGGCTTCTCCACGTCCATCTACCAATCCTGCCTCTATGTTGCCAGACGTTATTTTCTCTTGGCCAATCATACGGTTCGACCGTTCGCGTGAAACATTATATTGATCGAGATGCCAAGTACATATGTACATACGTATGCATTTTCACTGACGTTCGTTGGTGACGTTCATTTCCTGTAAATGTAAACTCTTTGGATTTCACGGGCCATTTTAACATTATATTGATTCTACACTAAAACTACCAACGGCTACAGGGCATGCAAGTTTCGTCAGAGATGTTAAAGTGAGAAAAAATAGAAACACAATAGAATGCACAAACTTTTATTCGTGTATTTCATAGAAAATCATTTATACCTCTAGAAATATACTATTTCGCATCTGTACTGTATATATATATATATATCTAAAAAAATTATGAAATTGTGAATTATATTATTATATTTTGATATTATTATGTTATATTTTGATATTATTATATTATTATATTCTGATATTATTATATTTTGATATTATTATATTATTATATTCTGATATTATTATATTATTATATTTTGAATTATGAAAATTATAAATTAATCATTTTGACTACTTTGGTAGTTCTAGTGTAGAATGTATAATAATTTAACATTTCTTTCCCCCGTGAATTTTGTAATTTCTTATTTGTTTGCAGGGTGAAGAAGAAATACTGTTAAGACTAACCACGTGTTTAATTAATAATCGTTAATCACTGCTACAATTTTTCGAGTTTTAAGAAATATTTGCGTGGAAGTATGTACTATGATTTACTTTTTGGTTAGTTTTCAGCGTTGAAAAAACAACACAGCAGTAAGCTTTAACGCTTTTTACATTGTTCGTAATGTGCATTATCTGTTTCCTGAAACAAAAGCAAATAAAATAATAATTTGATCTCGTTCGTGCAATCACGTTGATCTTCCTTCTGTTTCTTCCTTTACGTCTCTTTCTTTGAACAAAATTTTATACATCGAGTCGTGTTTTATTTAGCAAAAATAAATTCATCAAGATACTTTTCTTCATGTAGATTTTATCTTCGCGTCGCTTAGAATTTTTAACGAATCTTTCATGAACAATTTCACGGCTCCGTGAATAATTTTGTTGTTCTAAGAACGCCATGATTCAAATGAAATGAAATCAGAACAACAAAAATCTTCACTACAACACGGAAAATACGAATTTGAGAATTTGCTTCTTGAATATTAAACCCGCATAATCCTGCTTTCCTGCGACCAAGAAGAAGAACGATATAAGTCAAAATTTAAATAGAAAATTGGTGTTTGAATTATAGAAAAAAATCAACATCAAATAACGCTACTGAAACATGGTGATATTTCCTCGAAGGAAGAAAAACTCGTTCGATTTCAAGAGATGCCCCGAGATTAAATTTTTAATTGACGAATATCCCCCTGATATTCTTGTATGGGCACAAATGCTTTAGGAACAAAGCCAAATTCGGTTCACGGACTCTGCGCAATACTAAGTTTCCGGTATATGACCGTGACTTCTTGAACAATCGCCCATTACATTGACAAAAGCCTTTGATCGTTCCCCCGTGACATTGAATTAAACTCGAAGCGATTCCTTTCGAAAGCACCAAAGGAACTATATGTATATATGTGTACATGAAATTACGGACAAATAGGTTTAGTCATGTTTGACGTTGGTAGCGCACGTGATCGAAGCATGTTGGATCAACTCTGACGCAAAAATGACTTGTTTGTTTGTTTATTCAATTAAATGGGAAAGATCTCTTCTTACACGGAAAAATGAGAAATAAAAAAGAGCTAAGAAGCAAGATAAAATAAAAACGAAGATGTTGTGTTAAAAAAAGTGGGAGGAAAAAATAAACATAGTAATCACGAACATAAATAAAATAGCTCTATTCTTTTTTTATTTTAGTTTTAAAATCTTCTCACTTTCATTAGGATGAATTAGGGGGAAAGAAAGGAACATGATATTATATATTATATATTATATATTTGATATGTATTATATATTATATTATATATATTATATATTTATAGGTTATTATATATATATATATTTATATATTATATTATTATATTATATATTATATATTTGATATGTATGATATTATATATTATATATTTTATAATAATATATGTATAATTCCATTTGGTTGAATTTTAGGGATATTATATAGTGTGATCTACTTGAAATCTATTTTTAGTTTGTTGTATTAATTTATATTTAATAATCACACACACTGATTTTGTAAAAAAGGATAATAATGAAAGTGAAAAGATTTTAAAATGATATAGAGCTATTTTATTTAATAAAAAATAAAATGAAATAGAGCTATTTTATTTATGTTTGTGATTACTATGTTTATTAACTTATTGTACGAAGTATTGTGGCAAAATTGATTGAATATTTACTTAAGTAAAGCGAAGCGAAAAATCTGCTGTCGATGAAGTTTTTTTTAGTCATGTTTTTTTATAAAACCAGCTTTATACAGTTAAAGGACGTAACTTCAATGGAAACGACACGTCAATATCGTAAGAATTAATAACGAAATAGTTCTAAAAAGAGCAAGAAGGACCATTTCAATTTGATTTGATTGCACCGAGTGTTCCTTTAACTTTTTGATTACATTTCCATTTTTAACAGAGTTCGTATTTCATCATATTTTCGAATATTCTGATAATTTCAACCAACGGCAATATAATATGTGTATGTATAACATTAGTTTAAAATGTATTCTTCATTTCAATATTGTTACAATGCATAGAACATTTTTATATATATATAAAAGAAAATACTATATATCACCTAATTTTTTTTTTTTTTTTTTTTTGACATAAACGATTTAATATTGTTTTTTTACATATATTTACGAGACCAATGCATTACATATGATTTTATTTTGAAAGAATGTAGTTGAAGAGATATTTTAGAACGACGATTTTAGATCAATGATTTCAATCTTACTTTAATAACATCACTTTCTATACATTGGAGCGATTTTAAGTACATATTTGAAGAAAACCGAGGATTTTTAATATTTTCTAGTTAATTTCTTAGTTGAAGTTGTACTAAATCCTTAGAAAGATGACAATAATTTTTATATTTGACTGTTGGAAAACTCTCGTAATCTAATATTTGTTACTTTTGATCATCACATTTTTACATCATTATTAAAGTGCGAATTTTTGTGCAAGTTCACATTCTCAAAAATATAATTAAAGAGATTACAGTCTTAATTGTTTCACGTGCCAAACATTATAGAAAGCACATACCTCTTTACATCCGGTACAATTTCCCCTAAATGCGTAAAAATTCACAATCTAATCAGTGTATTATCATATAAAATTTGTCTGTGTGCCTTGATTATCATATCCATAAAATACACTGATAAGTATTAAATCCTGCAACAAATCGCAGGAGCTCTGTACTATCGCTCAAGTTTTTAGCATAAATTTTGATGATAATGGAAACTAAGCATTCTGTAGCATCATCCTACGCACACTTCTGTTAACTTCTTGCCATGCACGTCGAGAACTCTTTGTCCTAAAATTACAATATTTCCTCAGTTTTAAGTATATTATATTTAATATATAATATTATAATATTATGTATAATATTATTGAGAAGTAATAAATTTATTATTTGTTTTTCCCGGGTTATACTTAAACATAATATTGTAATATTATGATATTATATTTAAATGTAACCCAAGAAAAACAAACAATAAATTTATTACTTCTCAATAATATTATATATAATATTATAATATTATATATTAAGTATAATATACTTAAAACTGAGAAAATATTGCAATTTTAAGACAAAAAGTTATAATATTATAATATTATAAATATTATAAATTATAATATTATGATATTATAAATATTATAAATTATAATATTATGATAATATAAATATTTATAAATTATAATACGTTATAATATATTATAATATTATTAATAAAATTATGATATTATATTTAAGTATAACCCAAGAAAAACAAATAATAAATTTATTACATCTCAATATTATTATATATATTATTATAATATTATATATTAAATATAATATACTTAAAACTGAGAAAATATTGCAATTTTGAGACAAAAAATTATAATATTATAAATTGTAATATATTATAATATTATTAATAAAATTAAGTATAACCCAGGAAAAACAAACAATAAATTTATTACTTCTCGATAATTTCTATCCAGCGATGTCATACCGACATAAGTTCGGGAGGAAAAAAAAGCGACGAAATTGAATATACGGTTTGGTCACTCGTTACGGTCCGCAATCAGTTGCCAGCGCAACGTGGTTGAACAATTTCGCGGGTGCGTAACTAATCTGTAAGAAAAGCAGCGGAGAAAAGCTGGATGATGCGAGCGTGTGGGTGTACAACACAGCTCAGATACTCTATATATGTATGTACAAGCATACACATATGTAGTACTGGATTTGTACGGTCGCACGTGCGAGGTCCGTCGGATTCTCTCGATGACGTAGTAGCACTGTTGTTGAAAATGGAAATGGAAGTGTGTCACTGGGTCAATGGAGCTCTTTTCTTCGTCCTCTTCCTTTTTCCAGCTACTGGTCCAGATTGACCGTGGCTCTTTGTTCTCCAAGCATCACGGACGCATTAGCTCCAGACACGAAGACCGCCATCTTTTTGTCCGGTCTTTCACCTCGCTTCACCTCGGAATTATCCCGTGTTCGTGTTCGTGTTCGTTTTCGTTTTCGTTTTCATTTTCATTTTCGTTCTCTTCCAACCACTTCTTCGTCTTACTTCGCAACCAAGCAACGATCCACGGATCAAAGGCGCTGCAATTCTTTACGTGTCTTCTCTACAGAAACGGACCGACGAGAATTGGCTAAAAATGAACTAGCGCTTCAATCGGCTGAGCTCGCCTATTCATGGGAACCTGTCCTATTCGCTCGAATTCCCGTTCAATTGATTTTAGTAAAGACGAGACGAATGTTTGCAGAATATTGTTCGCGGAATCGTGCAAGAGCATCGGTTTTTGCAATTTTTTTTGCACGTCGTTTCTTATTTTGAAGCTATTTACATTCACTTTCGTGTCGTTATAATGAGACGCAGAAAATTTGAATAGCAGGCGGATTGTTCTTTTGGTACTCCGTTGTTGGAATCATAATTGTAGAAATTCTCAAATAAATGAAAATATATTCATGGAATATACCGAGTACACATGTTGAAGCAACAATAAATTTTGAAGTAACTTATTTACTAATATAATTTTAAATTTTGAACACATTTATATGTATATTTTTTAAATAACTTTGTTTATTGTTACATGTAATTTATATGGACATGGATGTTACAAAGTGAAACGAAATATTTTCATAATAATGAAATCAAAAATCACGTATAATCTTCCTCGAGATTATATGCACGGTGGAATTATGCAATAGAATGAATATATTTATAAAATGAAGCTGACGTACATAAATGTCGTCAGTTCATTCGTACGATTTATAGCAGAAAGAATTAGTTCGTTATTGGTTCGAATCTTTGTCGTAATCATTTAATAAAACATTTTTACAAGAAACGTCTCGTATTATTAATAAAAATTTGTGATAGTTTTCTCTTGTTTTTATTCATGAAATTTTCGCAAAATCACGGGGCATGTTGCTTGTACAGAAAAGAAAATTGGCATACTTTATTTTTATCTATCCTGTCCGATATATTTTTAAATAAGCAGAGGTTGAAGTTTTGCGTTCGTTGATTTTCGGTAGCTCTGGAAATCTTCCTCGTTTCTCTCGTGCCGGAGCAATCCCTCTTACAATTTATCGGCTGTACGTTGAGAAAAGCAATCCGCGTTCGTGCACCAACTTTCTTTTGCATCGTAAATTTTTTTCCCATCTTTCTTCTCTTTGTTCCGAGCAGAAATAGAAATCCATGAGCATCTACGATATTTTACCGATGCGTGTCTATAATCGCTACGAAACACGTGGCAAATGTTTTCGGTTGCTTCGATCGCGCCATAAATATTATTCGCGCGATTTTTCCATTTCCACATTGTGGATCTTCATTTTCGAGGCAGATTCAACAAATGAGAGGTTCCTAGCAAAAACAGAAGAAAGGAAACGCTTGTTGTCCCCGATGGGTGCCTAGGGATAAATATCAAATTAATATACAATAAATATACAATAAATATAAAATTAATATACAGTAAATATACAATAAATATACATACATATATATACATATATAATACAATAAATATACAATAAAATATTCATATATAATACAATTAATATACAACAAAAATATACATATATAATGCAATTAATATACAATAAAAATATACATATATAATACAATTAATATACAACAAAAATATACATATATAATACAATTAATATACAACAAAAATATACATATATAATACAATTAATATACAATAAAAATATACATATATGATACAATTAATATACAATAAAAATATACACATATAATACAATTAATATACAATAAATGTACATATATAATACAATTAATATACAGTAAACATACATACATATATGTACTTATATAATACAATTAATATACAGTAAACATACATACATATATGTACTTATATAATACAATTAATATACAATAATCATACATACATATATATGTATATATACAATTAATATACAATCAATATTAATACAATTAATATATAATAAACATACATACATATATGTACATATATAATACAATAAATATACAATAAAAATATATATATAATACAAACTAATATACAACAAAAATATACATATATAATACAATTAATGTACAATAAAAATATACATATATAATACAATTAATATACAATAAATGTACATACATATATATACATATATAATACAATTAATATACAATAAATATACATACATATATATACATATATAATACAATTAATATACATACATGTATGTACATATATAATACAAATAATATACAGTAAATATCAAAATACTTGAAAAGTATGCAGTAGTTCCTGATGAAAGAGGAAAGTAGCAGTGGGAAAAAAAAAAAAAACAAGAAAAAAGAAATGCAAAAAGTCATAGAGCACAAAAACAAAGGCAGGGGGAATGTGTAGATATCGAGGTGAGGGAAAGTACGCGGAAACAGAAAGGTAAACGATATTGGTACAAAGGTCTGGTATGTATTATGCACTTTTCACGAGCCAGCATTCTCAATAAAACTCTTTGCGCCGGGCATCGAACGGGAGGATCGATCCGTCGATAGACGGCCATGCATATTCCATGAGATATCGCGCGGATCGACAAGAGACGCACCCATAAATCTTTCTCTCCATCACGAATAACTGTTCTTCATAGCCACCCACAAAAATATATATGGGCGTACATCAAGTGTCGAGGAGGGGAGGGCGTCTCTCCGGTTCGAGGCACGTCTTTGTCATTCATCGATCATTCTACTCTTACAATGAAATTTGCAAGTAAAACTCGTCCAGCCAACGTGAAACGTTCGATGGATTTAAACATGTCGTTTCGCCAGCAAATATCGAGACGGGTAAGAGTTCTTTCCTTGTAAAGTCTACTGTTCGAAGAGCAAATTGGTAGAGATTGAAACTTTTCCTGTTGTTTTCCTTTCTTTTTCGGGAACTTTTTCTTTTCGTTTCCTAAGTTGAAATTTTATACGTGTGTCAGTACGAGGCATCTAATATAAAACAATGAGACGAGTTTTTTCTTCAGTGAAATGAATGTAAATTCTCTACTGATTCTACCTTTTTTCTTTTTTTTTTTTGGAACTGTTGTTTTATGAATTGAAATTTTATAAATTTTTCTTTTATAGAACTACCATTTTATAAGTTGAAATTTTATACGTGTGTAAGTACGAGGCATCTAATGTGAAACAATGAATCCAACCTGACAAGAGTTTTTTCTTCAGTGAAATGAATTGAATGTGAACAGTTGTTTTACGTCTCTACTGATTCTACCTTTCTTCTTTTTTTTTTTTTTTTTTTTTGGAACTGTTGTTTTATGAATTGAAATTTTATAAATTTTTCTTTTTTAGAACTATCGTTTTATAAATTGAAATTTTATACGTGTGTAAGTACAAGGTAGCTAATATGAAACAATGAGTCCAACCTGACAAGAGTTTTTTCTTCAGTGAAATAAATTGAATGTGAATTCTCTACTGAGTCTACCTTTTTTCTTTTTTTTTTTCTTTTTTTTTTGGAACTGTTATTTTATGAATTGAAATTTTATACATTTTCGTTTTTTAGATCTATTGTTTCATGAATTGAAATTTTATGCGTGTAAGTACAAGGTAGCTAATATGAAACGTTTAGTTTTACCAGTAAATATTGAAACGAGAAAGAGTTTCTTTCGTGTGGATTCTATTGTTCGGAGAGCGTTGAATCGATAGAGTTGAATTTTTTTCTGAAATTTTACACATGCACAGTGCGAGTCAATAAAAATGTCCACTTGAAATAATTCGTTTCCTATTGACTTTGTAGGAAAAATATTCGTGATGAAATTTATGGCGATCAGATGAGTATGTTTTGGTTCTTTTATGTTTTTTCGAAATTCCTAGGAATGACACATTTTTATTGATAACTTTGAAACTCAAAACGAAACGAAATATGACTACAATACGAGATGTGAGGCAATCAAAATGTATTCGTCTGAGCAATAATTTCGGACACAGTAAATTTCATTTCAAACATATTTTTAAAAAGTCAATAGAAAAAAACGAATTACTTCACTCTGTACGTTCATACGAAAATATATTCATAATTTTTAATAAAAGAAATACGTACGTTAAAACGTAAATTAAAACTAAGATGAAACTTGTAAAATTAAAGAAATAATTCAATGATACACTAAATTTACAATGCATTTACTCTAATAAATTGCGAATCGTCAGTGTGTCAAAGAAATATCCGAATGTTTTCAGATGACCTTATTATTTTGATTCAATCGATGCTGAATTTAAATCTAAATTTGAATTTAATTGATGTCGACACATCGTACAGTTCATCTCGTACTGTAATTACGTGTAATTATTGAAGTGTAAATGTTGGGAATATGAATAAGTAATAATTAATATCAAAATTTTATAAAACAAAGAAACTGCAATTTCAGCCAATATCCTTTATACAAATAAATTTATAATTTACTGTACTGTTCAAAAACAGATAGAAATTTCCGCAAATAAAACGTGTAAAAATCGAGCGAGTTAATTTTTGAAGAGTCAAAAAGAAAGAATAGAATTTTTTCGTTAAAGCCTTCGTTTCTGAGAAAATCGAATTTTTCATGATACAAAAAAGTATAATTAACAGTTCCTTTTTCAAGTAAAATATTTTATAAGATACGTGCGTTCCAGCTGACTGTATTAATTAAAAAATTCGTCAGTATTCCAAGTTTTCTGTGCACAAAAGAAATATCAAAAAAATAATATTCAATTATTGTAACTGTGCACCACCGGCAAACAATATCGTATTCTGGCGATTTATCAAAAATTCTTTTATTTTGAATGTATGAGTGTATATTGATTGAATTCAATTCGTGTATTGTTCGTTTTCATGAATAAAATTCATTATTTCGTATTTATTAACTTTTCACTTCGTTCAAACGCCACAAATGAAGTATCAACAGTCGCGAAATAACATTATGTTGCAAGTACTTCG